TTTTCATGAGCCTTGATGCTTTTTCTAAATATGCTTAGGCTATTTCTATCTTTTGTCTCCATTCTTTGCTAAGGTTAAAGGCTCGTGAATTTTTCTCTAGATATGGCTTCACGAATGTATGGGATAGCCTTGGTTGTTGCCCTATAAACACTTCAAAAGGGCTTTTGTTTGTGAAAGAACACTTATAGGAATTAAAACAAAACTGAGCTACATCCAACAATGCAAGCCAATTTTTCTTATTAGCTTAAACAAAATGTCTCAAGTACTCCTCTAATAACCTATTAAACCGCTCGATCTAACCATTAATCTGTGGATGGTAACTTGAAGAGATATTAAGCTGAGATGCCAAAATCTTAAAAAATTCTCTCCAGAATGAACCAGTGAATCTCGAATATCTATCACTGACAATGTTTTATGGAATGCCCTAGTGCTTAATTACATATTTAAACATTAGGCAAGTCGTATCTTTCACTGTGTAATACTTTTGGGCTGGAATGAATGTGGAATACTTCGAAAAATGATCAATCACAAGCAAAATAGACCTACAATCCCTAACCCTAGGGAGGCCCGATATGAACTATAAAGAAATGCTTTCCTAAGATCTTATAAGTACAAGTAACGATTCGAACATGCTTGATGGTTTCTTCTTCTCAACTTTATCCTATTAACAAATGAGATAAATATTCATATAATCCATCACATCTTGCCACATATGTAGTCAATAATAGCCTTATCTTAGTAAATCCAAAATACGTTGCCAACCAGAGTGACTTGCCTACAGAATGTCATGGCATTCCCGCATTAGCATCTATTTCAAGCCTTCTACTTTCAACACAAACAACCATGGACCCTTAGTCAACAAGGCCCCATTTTATAACCAAAAGCACTTGGACTTTCTTTCTTCTACTAACTTCAAAATGACACTAACCTGTGGATCTTTTTTCAAATTATCTTCAATTAGTTTAGGGATATCTATTGTAACTTTACTAGTTGGCATCAGAACGATTCTCCTAAGGGCTGCCAATTCTACTCGTCTACTTAGTGCATCACTACTTGGTTGGTTCTTCCAACATTGTGTTCAAAACAAAAACCAAATTTAACTAAGAACTTTTGCTATAGAGCTTGCTTAGCCATGAGCCTCAATTAGGTGAGAAAATGACTAACTGCAGCATTGTTAGTCTTGACAACAAAGTGGGAACCCAACAAGTAATGCCATCATGGCTTTAAACAATGGATTACTATTAAAAGCTCTTTTCTTGAGCCATATATCTCCTTTTACCCTCGTTCAACTTTCGACTTTCAAATGTTATATGGTGCCATTCTTGCAAAAGCACTACTCCAATAACGAAATCGGATGCATCCATTTGAATTTCAAAAGACGTCTCAATGTTAGGTAGAACTAATACAAGATTTTTCATCATAGCATCATTTAGGCCTTCAAAAGCTTTTTGACATTCATTAGACCAACACATTTATGTCATTTTTTCAATAATTTAGTAAAGCCCGTTATTCTACGAGTACTTAATCACAAATTTTCTATAATAGTTAGCCAATCCTAAAAGCAATCGAAGTTCACTAACATTCATTGGCGTTGCTCATTCTTTAACGACCTTAACTTTTTTCATGTCCATTCGAATGTGACCCTATTCAACAATATAACCTAAGAAATGAATGTGTTTGCACAAAAACACATTTTTCCCTTTTTACATACAACTTATTATCCCGTAGTCTTTGAAGCACAAGACGCAAGGTGCAAGTGAAACTATGAGCACTATATCATCTAGGTAGATGACCACAAACTTATCAAGATAGTCATGAAACACTTGGTTCATCAAGATATAAAACGTGATAAGGGTATTAGTCAATCCAAAAGGGATAACAAAAAATTCAAATGCTCCATACCGCATTACATAATTAGTTTTTCGCTTATATCCTTCAGTAATTCTAACCTGATGATAGCATATCTCAAATCCAATTTAAAGAAGTATTGTACCAACTTAGTTGATCAAACAAATCTGTAATAAAAGGAATAAGATACTTGTTCCTCAAGGTAACTTTGTTTAATACTTTGTAATCTACACATAGCCGCAAACTCCTACATGCTTTCTTTGAAATAACACTAGTGTCCCAAATGATACTTTTAATGGCCTAATGAATCCAACTTGCAAGTGCTCATTTAACTACTTTCTTAGTTCCATCTAACTACTTTCTTAGTTCTACCAACTCTAGTGAAACTATGCAATATTAGCCTTTAGCTAGAGACTTAACTCCCAAAAGAAGCTTAAGCTCATGGTCCATCGATCTACGAAAAGATAAAACCTTAGGCAATTACTCTAGCATCATATTCTTAAACACATTCAATACTTTTTACATCCCATCAGGTACTGGTTTCAACTCAATTTCCTCTTTAAAAATCGACATGGCCACATATGCACCATTCTCTTTACCTTTTTCTTAAATTGCAATGCTAAAATCATTTTCTTCCTACTTTTAGAAAGGATCATGGCCGACACAACATACGAATGTCCCCCAAAAGCAATAAACAACAAGCAGCAGAAATTGGAATAACCTGAGCCAACATCATAAAATTCAATTCGAAAACAACATCAAAGTCATTCGTAGGGGAACCATGAAGTATACATTTCCTTTCCATGACCCCAACTTGGTCATCACACTCTTAGAGCTTTCACTGATCATAAAAGCTAGTGAGTTAACCACTTTCATCTGCCCATAGTCCTTATTAACCTTGAGACCACATTTTTTTGCTTCTTCTGGTGTAATAAAGGTATCAATTGCACCTGTATCTACCATAAGCTTTGTGGTTTTATCATTGAGCATTAGATTTACATACATCAAACCTCTCTCAAGTTTTTTTTATCATGTTTAGTTGGGTATGGAAAGCACTAAAAATTTGTGTTGAACCTATCCTTACTGGCTTATCCTCCACTTCCTCGACAGTTTCAGGTGTTTTAGAATATTCTTGAGAAGAGGCTCTCAAGGCATTAAGGGCACCTCTATGTGGGCATTCGACCACCTAATGCCACCCCTAACATAGAAAGCAAGCTAACGGTTGCTTCGGCTTGAAATTCGATGCATTGTTTCTCTTGGGTTGGGTATTATCTCAACCAAAAACTTTTCTATTTCATCCCCCACTCAAAAGTCGATCCGCTCTACCTATATTTCTCATATTCCCAAAGTTAAGAGTTATTGCCACTTGATAAAGAGTTCTTTCACTTCGATGAGCCATCGTTATAGTCATTAAGACATTCAACAATAGCCATGGTAGTGGCTACATCTTGCACTTTTTCTCTTTGTTGTTCCTTCCTAGCCCAATATTTGAAGCCCTCAAAAATATAAAACATCTTGTCTTTTTTATACATGTCTTTAATATCCAACATCGGGGTAAAAAAACTCTTTACAAACTCTCGCACCATTTCGTTTGCACCAATTCTTAAAGCTTCCTTCTAACCATGTACTTCACATTCTCAAAAAAAAATTGATTTTTCAACTCTTACTTGATATCCGTCTAAGTTTTAATAAGACATTCATCATTCACAAATTTTGAACACCACCAAAGCTTAACATACTCAACAAGGTACATTGAAGCCATTGCAACCTTATCCTTCACCGATTCTATATACATAGCTTGAAAGTATTTTTCTATATTAAACAGAAAATTCTCAAGCTCTTTCATATCTCTTACCCCTTATAACATCAAGGTTCCAACACCTTAGCCCTTTTTCCTTTATCCATTGAGCTAGAACTCAATCTGACCACAACTATTTGGAACACACTCACTTGGATCCTAAGTTCCTCAAACTCTCTTTGGAGGATGTTCATGGCATCTTTTGTTTCATCATCCAAGCTATGTACTGTATCGAATAGCTTCTGCTGGACAATCTCTATCTCCTTCAGTCGATCATGGATTATCATGTAAGCTGACCTCAAGCTCCTCAATCCTCTATCGATCATCAAATCCACCACTCGTAACCATTTGTTAATTCTCTAGCACTTTTTAACCGTGCTATGATATCACATGTCATGAACTAAGCTTTCTCTTAATGAAGCAATAAATCATGCAACATTTAAATGAACGCTTCCATACAAGTCAACAAATGATAGCTCGATATTTAAATAGACAATCAACAACCCACAAATTAAACTCAAGAATGCAAAACGATATATCGAAACATAATAAAAGCACACGAAGGGCACCCCCAATGTTTTCGAAAGAAAAAAATATTTTATTAATATTGAAAATAGTACAAGTACAAAAAGAACATCCGATCTTCTTACCATCTTTGAGGCCAGAGGAACAACCCTAGATGGATGGTCTAGCACGTACCTTTACCAGTAAGACAACCCAACAACACGCCAACTACTCACCCTTTCTAAAGAACTTAAAAGATTTTATAGCTACGCTATCAAAAACCATTACAATATTTGAAATAAGGGTAATTTTTTGTAGTACATGAAATCTACCCACCCCTTGACACCTTTACTCGATCATGATCCTATACAAAGGTGGCTCATGATATTATATGCCCGATCATGACCCTATACAAAATTGACTCATGACACCAAGACTCAAACTCTAACTGATGCTATTATCAAAGGTCGAGACTCAAACTCTAATCGCACATTGCGGGGAAACTAATGCTATTGTCACAAGTCAAGACTTAAACTTTAGTTGCACATTGCAAGAATAGGGTAATGACCATTTGTCATTATATATACACTTACAGAAAAAAGGATAATGACCACTTAACACCATGTAGGCGTTAAAGCTCGGGAAAAATCTAAACAAATTCTCAATGACATGGGGCAACCAAGTATCAAAAATTGCCCTGGCATATCCACAAGGATTTGACTAATGTTTAGGATAAGTGAGTATGATTTTGAGAATCTATATGATTGTTACATCATCGAAAACCCAGCTCTGGGCTAGTTTTTCTAATATAGAGGGGACTAGGAAGTGTCTCAAATTAAGACAGCAGAAATAAATAAGTGCCATAGTACATTCTCATCAACTATTACATGAAGTCACATTCCAGAATCTGTTTCACCTAATCAAGCGGACATCGTACTCCAACATTAACTGCAGTTAGAAAAGGATGATTATATTTGTGTATACTTCAAACATGGTCTCAAATTGCACTTAGGCAGTTAGCTGTTCTCTCCCCGACTCCTTTTGGGTACAAATCGCCATAGGTCCACAGCTATATCCACCTCCTTTTTCTTGTGAAACTTGTATAGTTGAGGAACATCAAAACGGAGCTGAACATAAAATGGGGAAGTAGCATGAGAATAAGAAAAGACAAATAAGTGTAAGAAGGCAAATATTTTAAAGAAAAATAGAATAAAAGCAATTTGCCAGTGCAATTAAAGCAAAAAAAGCAGAAGAACATATGCTCAACCCAGACCATGCTTGCAGCTTGTACCCAGCAAGCCATCTAAATAATTTCTTCTGTGAAGGCTTGTTCATAATGACAACATTTTATGGTTCATGAAAAAAATGTCATCAGATTGTGAAGCTTGTTTTACCCACCTCACACAAGACCTCAGCACTGCTAGCATTTAAGTCCCTTAAGGCCGCCCTTTTGACATGCTATAGCAAAGAAAAGAAAATGATCTCAATTCTTAGTCACAGTAAAATCCTTATGCAAGCAGCACAGGCAACTGATGTCTTTGCATGGAAGAAACAGACAACATGAGACAAATGAATGAGAAATTACATTGAGAACAAAAGATGAAAAAATGTTGCTAATTAGCAAGCAAATTCACAGGAACAAAAATATAAAAAAAAAGGATAGTTTTGATGGTATAAACATAAGTACATAATCAATAATCCTACAAAGATAATTAAGACCAAACAATTACTTTCTCCACAATAAGGTAATTGTTTCTGACATTTTAGGATGGGAGGGAACTATTGACTACTATCAAACACATGAAAAACCTAGGCTAACTAATATGTGAAATACTGGAGAAGGTATGCTAGTCAATGAATAGTTAATTAGCTATATTTTAGCTTAAAATTTACCATTTACACAAAATAAATCAAGGGCAGAGCAAGTAACATTACTTACATCTCTTGTTGAGGTCTTATGCAAGGAATAAACTGCTTCAGAAGCTACCTGGCACATACAATATACGGAGAATATGCCTATTAGATCAAATAAGCTGACAAAGATGGATCAAACATCTTGAGTCTTGACTCTATCACTAGTTTTACCTTCAATGCTACAAATAGAAAATCGATGTCAGCACCCTTCTTTCGAGTTCCAAATGGTGGATTCATCACAACAGTATCAACAATTTGACCTGAAAACAGACTGAGACCATAAGATGACAATACAAATCACAATAACTTAAGATTAAGAAACAGGCAGTAGAGCATTCCATTTTAACGTACATATTGTTTTAAACTTAAATTTTTCCTACATTTTCGCTTGATTAATTCAGCATACAACCATACCTAATATAGTGACCAGAAAGTAACAGATACATTCGATGCTAGTGCATCTCCCATATGAATACATTGAAGTCAAAGATGAAACAAGTTGAACAATTTAAAGCCAGTCAGCCATGACCCTATCAATTCTAAGCATGAAAATGACTAGCTATATACTTCCTGTATATTTAATTACACAAAAAATTCCACTATGTGCGAGAGAATCACCATTTCTAGGAAACTAACCTTTGATTACATCTCTTAAAATGAATAACTTTTCCATATCATAATGACTGTAATTTTTTAGGAGAAAAAAATCAATTATAATGCTTATACTCCAAGTTCTCTGTAGGCACACAGGGATAGAGAGGAAAAGGGAGGGGAAGAAACTGTTACCTCTCCATCCTAGATTACTGATGTCACACTGAACAAAATCTATGTCCAACTGCAGGTTCAATTAAGAAAGAAACGCAAGGAAGGCATCACGAAATGTGTAAATTACTAAGCAAATATTGAAATTAACTAGCAGACATTAAAAGTGAATCTCATAGGTAGACAGATAAAGAGAAAAAAGATGTCAGAATTATGTCACTCAGGCCAAAAAAAGCTGTAGACCTTACTACATGTAAAAATCAATAAAGAAGAGATCACCTCAAGATTCTCAGCGTTCATTGACGCTATTCCAAGTGATTGAGAATCGATATCAATGCCAATAACCTGCCTATTCCAAGCAACAAAACGCCCACATCGAAAACAAAAGATATGGAAGCAAATATAAATTTTTCTTTTCTTTTCAAAATCAGTTCAAGTTAAGGAATCTATAAAGAAAGGAGAAGAAACAATGAGAAAGAGAAGAGAGGGACAAAAGGGTGAACTTACTCAGCACCCAAGAGAGCAGCAGCAGCACCTAAAGTGCCACACCCACAACCAAAATCTGCCACAACCTTGTTGCTAATATCATCAAATGAATTCTCAGCCTAAAAAAATTAAAAACAAGAAACAATTAAGAAAAGCTCATTAGCATGGAAAATGAAAGAAGCATTTTTTTTGTTTTAAAAAAAAATTTAATCTAGATACGGTGTACAGCAAGCGAGAAGCAATATGAGGTCCAGTTGGGTACTGTTCCAGCTCCACCTGCACTAAAAAAAATAGATATTCCACCAGAAACTGATTCAATAATTAATACAATATAAACAAACTCTGGGTTTTTACTTTTTGGGGGGTTAAGGGAGTGAAACAGACAGAAGAGAAAGACCTTTGGGTTTGAGAATTGTTGAAGATGACCTAACAGACATTCCAGTTGCTTCAGCTTCATCTTTTTTTCTTTTTTTTTTGGAATCCTTTTAACAAATGCACAGGCAAAAAGAATAGAAGATCCTGTTTCTGCTTCTTTTTCTTTCTTTAATAAGCCCTAAGTGCGGGATATACTGGAATTCCTGGTTAGGAAATTACAATACTAGGTTTTCCAGGAATTTTTTTTTTATTTTTCAATACAAAAAGTTCACAATAGTGTTGTCTTTGTTCTTTCCTTTTGGTGATGCAAGTGAATTTAGCTTTTGATTTTTTTATTTTATTTAAAAGCTTTAAATTATAATTAAAAATTATTTAAATTTTTAAATTTTTACATTTTTATATTTTTAAATTTTTAAATTTTTAATATTTATTTATATACAATTAAATTTTTATTTAAATAAAAAAATTAACATCATTAATTTTTTATCAATAAAGATAAAATTTCATATAAAATTAATAAAATTAATAAAATTTTATCATATAATATAATTAGTAATAACAAAAATTAAATAAAATAAATTTTTTTCTCAAATTTTTGTAAAAATTTAATTGACTCTAGATTAATTTATTCAATTTGACTACGTAATTAAATTTTATTTAATTAAAATTTTAATAAATTAAAATAAAATATTAAGACTTAAAAAATGTTTTTTAAAAATTATTTTAATTTATAATACATTTTAAAAAATTATACATTTAATCAAATTAATTAATAAAAAATACATCACTCGCGCTAGCCAATGGTTCAGAAAAAATGAAGGCCCGGCTCCCCTTAGCCGCCCTTTTAAACAAACAAAAAGATAGAGGAAACGCAAAGAGGAAATTTTCCTAGGGTTTCTGCTTTTATTCTTCTTGCTCTCTCTCGCAGGTAATTCGTTTATTTAGAAGACAATTTTCTTCTATTTTCTCTTTCACATGCACTTTTAAATATTAGGGTTACGTTTTGTTCTCACTCAACTTCGATTAAACACATTTATTTTATTATTATTGCTTTAATTTCACTCTTGTTTTATTACTAATAATAATCGAAATCAACTATTAGGAGTTAAAAATGGTTCTATCGGATGATGAAATCAAGAGGTTGTTTCGAATCCGAAAGACGGTATTGCAGATGCTGAAAGACAGGGGTTATTTCGTCGGAGACTTCGAGATTAACATGTCCAAAGAACAATTTATTTCTAAATACGGTGAAAACATGAAAAGAGAGGATCTTGTTATCAATAAAACCAAACGAAATGATAACTCTGATCAGGTATCCCCTAATAATTAGTTCAAGTCATTTCTCAATTGTTTTTGAATGTATGGAAATATGGATTGTTAAGCGTTTGAAAGCTTGTTGTTGCATACGTATTTTGATCTACATTTTTCGCCATATTAATTTATGGTTTTTTATTTTTTTGTGTACTAGATCTATGTTTTCTTTCCTGAGGAAGCCAAGGTTGGTGTCAAGACAATGAAAACTTATACCAATCGCATGAAATCGGAAAATGTTTTCAGGGCTATACTGGTTGTGCAACAGAATTTGACTCCCTTTGCTCGGACTTGTATTAATGAAATTTCTACAAAATTCCACTTGGAGGTTTTCCAGGTCAAATTTCTTGTTTTTATGGTATTCAGGTCCTATTTAAGTCATCATCATGCTTACTGATAGTATTCCTAACCAAGGACTTGAACTAACCAATCTCTCTCAATGGGATGCTTTGTGTATATTCTTCTATGATTGGAAGCTTTGCGGCCAATGATTTTTCTAATTAAATGTAAATTCTTGAGCTTATGAATGTGATAGACAAGCACTTTACTAATGGTTGGTGTGATAGATTGACTGAATGGCTAGGATCATCTGATGAATACCATTTTCTTGGAAAATTTGGTCTAACATCAGTATATATTTTAGTCCTATTATAGAAATGTGATACTCAAGCATTGTTTTTATAGGTTGTTTTCTTTTTTTTTTAATCGACTTTTTCTACATTTTTTTTAATTTATTTGAGGACTTTATTTCATTAGATGCAATTAAGACTTAAATGTAATAGTTTGATTTTTTTTTTTTAATTCAAGCTGTCTATTTTTATATTTAGTATCTTGAACTGTCTAATTTTTATACATGGATGATTGAATGGTAGTCAAACAAAATAGCAATTAGGCCTTGGTTGGCCTCTAAGATGTCGCTTTTATGAAGTGGTTATGAGGTATCATAAGTGCAGCTGTTAATGTGTCTTATTTCTGGTACAAAATCAATTCAAATACATGTGAAGATTCACACCTTCCTGTTCTTGAAATATACTTCTGTAAATAGAATACATGCATTTTTATATCTCTTCTTATGATTCTTATTTTGAACTTTGTTGGTTCAGGAAGCGGAGCTCCTCGTCAATGTAAAAGAACATTCTCTTGTTCCTGAGCATCAGGTGCTTACTAATGAGGAGAAAAAGACTTTGCTGCAAAGATATACTGTAAAGGAAACACAGGTCAGTTTTTAGTAACCTTAATTACTATATATTGGTAGATTAAAGTATAGTAAAGTGATTCGCACAAATCATTGTTGAACTATTTGATATTAGTTGTTTTACAGGGTTATACTTTATATAATATGTTCTATGAGCTGATTGGTTAATTATGTATAGAACCACAGTTACATGAATCTTGTTTAGTAGAATCATGGCAACTTCAACTTGGAACATGAGCTACCCTCGTAGGAATGCATGATTTGTTTGCTTGTATATCAGTTGGGTGGCCAAGGGCTCAATATCTGATATACTTGGCCACCCAACTGATATAAGGCTGGGTTTCCGTTGAAGCTTTCTGTGGTAAATGACTGGAGCTTAGTGAAATTAAACCAGTGACCTTGGCAAATTCGGAAAAGCTCTGAGCATGCTTGTGCATGTTAATGATATGTGTGTGGGGGGTTTTGTCAATTGAGATCATTGACATGCTTTGTGCTTTGGTTTACCTGGATGCGATGCCACATTTCTAGGACTAAATTGTTTTAATGACAGCACTACATTAGGCTAGTTAATTCAATAGTCTCTTGATAATTTCAAGATACATGAAGTCTGTGTATGGACAATGTAATTCTTTAGATATTGATTCATAGCAGATGCCGTTTTAAGGCTACCTTTTGTGTTTATAATGTACAAGTGTTGTGGTGGTGCATTTTGCTTAATGAAGAAAGGAAAATGAAAATACATCACTGTGTGAAAAAGACAGCCATTGTTCTTATGCAAGCTTGGGGTGTCATTTTTGTGCATGCATTCCTTTTCATCTCTTTTAAAAATCCCATCATTTTCTGATCATTATGTTTTTGGAATGGATTGAATGCAGCTGCCTCGTATCCAGGTAAGCGATCCAATCGCAAGATACTTTGGGCTGAAGCGTGGACAAGTGGTGAAGATAATTCGGCCTAGCGAGACTGCTGGTCGTTATGTCACCTATCGATATGTTGTTTGAGCATGTTTCTGGTTAAACAGCATTTTTCCTACTTTATTTAGAACTGATAGCAGCATTTAAACCTCAAGCACAACTACTATCAAATTGCCCAGTGGTCTCAAAACCTAATGGATTTTGTAGTTAGGGCATGAAGACAACTATGGTGCTAGTTTGAATGCAGTTCTGGGTTTTGTTCAATATCATCAGTTGTAATATTAATGCATCTCTCTTAGTTATTTCTGCATTCCAATTCCGGTGTATTTACTGGCCCAAAAACTAAACAAATTCCTGTGTATTCTGTTCTTGTTTCCACCAAAACCAAATGATGATATCACTTCGGAAATGTCTGAAATTCCTTACAAAAATTGTTTTTATTTTTGGGTGACATGAAAGTATTTCGTTATTTCAACCTATTAGCAATCGTCAAATGGGTTCTTCAAGCTTGTAGGTCGGTCAAAAACGAAGGAATAGTTGTTCACGGCTCTGTTCTTGAAAGTGGCTTGTCTAATGCAATAGATGGAGTACTTTTTGTCTCACAAACGAACAACAACCGATATTTTTATACCATTTGCCACCTGATAACAGATTCAGTTGATTCAAGATGTTATAGTTGATAAGATATGGAATTGGAGCTTCCCCCTTTTTCAGCAATTTCTAAGGCGTAGTCGAGGTGGAGAAGAAAAGCTCTCTAACTATACTGTAACGGTACCATTCTTTTAAAAATGAACCTCAGAGATAGGAGCACACGAAACCAATCCCATGGTCACCTAATAATGTAATCCATCAAAACCATTTTATCATGTAGTCTAAGCTTCAAACGCTTTCTCCTTCACCCTTTCTACCTCGCCAACCAAATGTCAATTACATGGAATTGACAACTTATCAAATGAAGATTATCAGATGTCCTATTTTGTTGAGAGAGAGTCAGCAAACCATTTACATATGAAAGAAAGTAGCCTTAAACAGAGACAACAATCCAATACAAAGACAGAAACAAGAGGGAGATAACAAACCTATAAACCTGGAAATGTCTTAAATAGTATATCTTGCCTACTACGAGTCTTTTTTTTTTTTTTTCCTCTAAGCACTTATACATATGTCTTCAATGCTTAGAAGCATAGCAAGAAACAGAAAACCAAGTTTTGAGAATAGTAAAAGGCTTTTGACATTGAGATAGTACTCCCTCTTCTGCCTTAGTAGTTACAGCAACACTAAATCGTCTATGAACGATTTTTGCACTTCTCTATAGCCCTCGGGGCTGCATAATACAAAAACATCTGTTAATGATTGCTTGCTCCGGCGTTAACCACCGTCATGTAACCAAAGGAAAAGGATTTTTGACAACCTACAAGTATTATCAAAAAATCTCACACTATTTCAAGGCATCTCATTTCTCAACATTTTTTAACAAGAATTCTATATGCGGATGGAAGTTAAAAACTTCGAAAGGACAGTCATTTTGTATTGTATGACTAGGCAATCAGAAACCATCAAGAACATAGTGGAATTTATTGGTTAAAGCTTTTGACAACTCCACAGAAATCTAAATCCTACTATACCATACCTAGGCCGATAGCCTCTGAACTCTTCATGATCCTCAACCTCTTACAAGAGTCAGTAAAGATCCTGCAACAGAGCAGGATACTTAAATTAGTGAAATTTTCTTGCGTCTCTTATATTCTGGAAACATTTACCATTGAAATTGGAACAATTTAGTGAAAACACCTGTACAATGAATGAGAGAACAGTGCTCAGATAAAATCAAAGCCCAGGCACTTCCAATCAATGATTTAAAGCTAACTAAAGATGTTTCCATAGTTACTCTCAAATTTCAATCAATAAATTCCCATGAAAATTTTGACTCAGAATAACTTGATTGATTTTCAATCAGCAATCAGTTTTCCATCATTGGCTATTTAAATAAGTTGAGTTGCAAATCAACTTACTGCCAGGGAACGTCACCGACCAGCATCCAGTCACCATCTTTATCTTCATAGGTGAGTACATACTCAGAGCCATGTAGTAGATCTATTAATCGACTCTCACTCAATCCATCCCGGCTAGAAACTCCATGAGAACCACACTGACCTGAACCGATCGATTACAAACCACAAATTAAACCTTTTAAAACAGGAGTACTCCTGCAGGTGTGCACATGCGACTTCAATTTAATGCATCATTATATCACATGCAGATCCTTTCTAGCACGCATGATTTTCACATAACTAGACAAACTGGTTATTAAAAACAATTTCAATAAATAAAAAGTTAAAAGCACTCATTTTTGCCTCAAAGGTGAGAAGTTTAATCTAAGCTAACATCATTACGACTAAGATGGTAACCAACTGATTGTCAGTATTGTTAGGTAGATTGCAAAAGATATATCTACAAATCCACGAGCAGTAAGCATTTTGTTCTGTTGTGGCAAAAATAGCACTTTCACTTTTAGACTCAAAGAACCTCTTTTTAATCTTTTTTTTATTTATCAAAATAACCTTAATACCAACTAGTCCATTATGTAAGACACAATTTCTTGATTCAGGTACTCTGAAACTTCCAACTAGTCCATTGTGGAAGACACAATTTCTTGATTCAGGTACTCTGAAACTTCCAAACATACCTTGCCATTCTAACAAGATACATTCAAGATTCCACCTCTGCCCTCTCACCTTCTTTCTCCTCTCTCTTCTCATCAAATTATCAAACGAAACAGCAAGAGAAAGGGTGAAGAAGACAAAGAGAAGGTATTTGCTTTATATTTATCCACAAGGTAAATTTCACTTGCGTGTTTTTTTGCAAACCAATTCCTATTATTGAAACAATCGACAAAATTATGGTGAGTTGGCAACCAAAGAGTTCAGTACATTTGATTTTGAGTGTGCGTAAGTTAGGCATGGGCATGATCATATTTGTGCATAGCCTGAGTAAGGAAGATATGTATTGCCAATTGAAAAGCACTGAAAAAACGCACAGGATGGTTTTAGACAGGAAAATTACCAATTGTGAAGCAGCTGAACATCTTTTCAAGTGCCGAGTAGAGTTCTTTATAGCTGCCATAGATTTTGAGATCAACTTTCCTTAGGTATGGAGCCCCATCCATACTAACTTTGACATACAGACATCCTGCTCCTAACTTGGCTTCTGCATCGTCATCATCCTTTGGGGGATGAGAAGCCATTGTATTCTTCCGGAAAGAGCGAATTGGTGGCCATCCAACTACTTGTGCCCTGCTAAACATGAATAGAAAGATAGAGGATTAAATTTCTTACATTGAAGGCCAAAAGAGAAAAGAATTTGAAATTATGAGACCAAAAAAGCACGGTAGTAACACCTATCTTCTTGTATTAGAACTACATAGGACTGAGGAGACAAGTTTACACTACAAGTATATCAGCAGGTAAAAGGCAACTTGAAGAAGTTCAATTTGTAAGCAAATCATAAGGAATGAAAATATGAAGCAACTAAAATGTTGATAGAGAAGAAAAAATATTCCTTCTTGATAGTTACAACACCATTTAATTGTACTACGGATAAAAATTTTCAAAACTTGGCTACAGCTTTTAGATCGTCAAACAACAAATTCTTCGTAATTCACAAGTTTTTCTGCCTAATCCAATTGCTTTACCCGGTAATCACATATTTCATTTTTTTGTACTGCTTTTTCACCTTTCCACCAACCAAAAAGACGTTTAAAAACCCAATCAATAAATTAAAAAAATAAAAATAAATAAAATAAGGGGAGAAAGAAAAATAGTCAAAAACCTTCCACCAACATAATTTAATTTCTCCTCCCACAAATACAAGGAAATGGAGTAGTAAGTTTACTTTGAAGCAGGAGCAATATTCCCAGTCCCATGACCACTACCACCAGCAACCTGAGGTTTCTTCTCTTGAACCAACACTGGCTTCGTAGCTGCTCCATCCTTCAAAACTAGACTACCCAAACCTGAGTCGGACCCGGAAAGACCATTTCCTCCATTATTACCGCCACTTCGAGGAGAAAACAACCCTTCAGATCCTCCTCCACTCCCACCAGAAAAAACCCATTTCCCGCCGCCATCGAGTGCGTCAGAAAAAACCCTTTTTGCCCCTGACACAAAACTCTTCAGTGAAAGCACGTTATGGTCATGATCCTCGCTCTGTGGTGACTCAGACCCTGGTAACCCGAGTCTCAGCTCAGTAGCTTTTAAGTGTAAACCATTCTTTTTATTATTACTATCAGAGCTTTCCATTGAAAGAAGCTGTTGCACTGACAATCCTATGTAATCATGCTCTATGGGCTTAGACATCAGAAAGAAGACATCTAGAAATAAAAGAAGAGATCAACCACAAAATAAACGACGGAAACAAGCTTTTTTTAAGAGTGAAACTGAGAGAAAGATAGGAGGTTTGATCATGAAGCAAAGAAAAAGAAGCTTCTTTTAAGCTTTTGGCCCTTGCGTACTCTCTTTTGTTCCTGTATAATAACACACACAAAAAAAAAAAAAAAAACTCAATCTTTGCTCTCAACACTGTAATAAGATTTTCTATTTTTGAGAGAAAAGTTGTAAGCTTTTAAAATTTATATAAAACGGCTTTTTTTGTGGGGAACCACTTCCGACAATGTAACAGAAAGTCTCCTTCCGGGGCAAACTTTCCGATAGTGACCTTTTTTTGAAAAAAAAAGTAAGCTAATGAAAATGCACCGTGTGTGCTAACGTCCACTGTCACGGGTTAAGGGGTTTAGCTAAAGTGCGCCCCTGTTTCAGACAGCGTTTGGACGAGGGAAACGAAAGAAAAAAACTGCATGGAATCAAAGAAAAGGAAAGGACGAGAGCTGTTCGCTTTTCTGTGAAGCCTTACTCTTTAAACGGCCAAAACTGCTCAGATCTTTAAGTGAAAAATAAATAAATATAAAATCCTAGCTTTCTGTCTGATTTGATGTTTGGATCGCAGGAAAAAAAAAAAAGAGCTAGGAAGTGAGAGGGAAAGAGGCTGAAATGAAAGAGAAAATCGGCAGTTTGAGGGTGTTGGTGGTGGGAAAGTGGCAGAGAAATAACTCTATTCAAAAATATTTTGTTTTTTTTTTTTTTTCTTTATATGTCTCAGATTTCTTTGGATTTTTCACTAAAACAAAAAATAATAATAATAATATAAACAATAGAAAAAAGTAAAGTTTTCATTGGTTGAAGTTTGCACATTTAAAAGAAACTCCACTCAAGCATTAGGTTGTTGGGGGACAAGATCGCCGTCCATCATCCCATGTAAACCGGTAATTGGTAAATTGTTAAAACTTACAGGCGGTAAACAAAACCTCATTCATAAAAAAATTTATTTATAGTTGAATTTTGTAAAAATTAATAAAAATCTTTTTTGGACTAACACTGTTATAGCAATGATGTTGTTTCAATCAAAAAAATTAGCTAATCCTAATCCCCACAAACACCATCAAATTAAGTAATTTGGCCTTTGCACTTGCTTCAGTTATCAGCTAACCACAACGGATTAAAAACTTATAAACATTGTTAAGTATGTTAATTGTGATTAATGATGGTGTCGAGAATTGTTTTATGGACTGCTGGAGTAGGGTCCGGAACCACATCACTTGTCATTTGTCTTTCTTTTATATACTTGCCTTTTTTTTTTTTTTTGGTTATTGGTTTGTAAATCGACTTTCTTCAATTTCCACCGAGTGCAGAGGTGGATAGTAATTATATATCTTATTATTTGTGTATTTATATCATATAAAATATTAAAATTTATATATTGATATTATATTTTACTTAAAAATTATATATTATAATTCATGTTAATACGAATATATAAAATTTTTTTTTTATTTTATTAAATTCATATATAATTATTATTAAAATTTTAAATTAAATTAATTTTTTATTTTTTATTCATATAATATTTATATCATATTATTATATCATATTTATATTATCAAATCTAGTCAGGTGCTTCGGCCATCTCCCAAAAATTTTAAATCTTATGGAGTAAATATTATAATAAAATTAAATATTTTTTCAAATTACAATTATTAATTTTATTTATTTTTATATGATTTCATAATTTAATTTTATTTATTATAATTTAAGATGTATTAAAATCATATTAATATTTTCTATTTATTATATCAATCAATCATTACTTATAAATATTCTTGAAAGTCTCCAATCAAAAACCAAACATACTTTTTCTTTATTTTTTAGTTGATTACAACTCCTCTCATATAATTCTTCATTTATAATTTTACCTTAAATTTATTTTTTTCTCTTGCTATCATGAAAATTTTTTCAGCACAAAAGTCATATTGAATCCAAGGCACCTTACTTCTAATCTCAAAGTTTCAAAAATTTTTTATTGATATATTTTATTTTCTTGTTTTAACAAAAATATACATCAATTAACAGTAGATTTATTTTTACATTTTTAAAAGAAAATTGATTACAATTTTAAATAAAATTATTTATTCAATGTATTATGTTTCTTTATACATTGATTTATTAAGCAATAAAATTTATACATTTTGTTATTATATTACTTACATATATATATATTAATAATATAATAAAAAAATTATTTAAAATTTAATATAATATTAATTGACTCCTCAAAATCAAATACTCAACTATCAAAATCCGCTGTTGCATTTAATAATCATAGTACAAACCACCTAAAATCAAACTACTAAAAAAATGAAGATGCAAGATTTACACTGAAAAGCAAAACAGGATCTTTAACCAATGTTCAACGCCAAAAAGTGAAAATGGTTGTCATAATCGGACCAAGGACTTTCTGGTAAGGGATAGGGGACAAGATGAATCTTTAAAGCAGGACCGTTCGACCCCATGCAGGATTTGATTAAACAGATGGGGAGGAATCACAAACATATTTTAGTCTCGAATAGACCATCATACCCTGTAAGAATAATAACAGCAGCTGCACGTATCAGACACACAAGCTTTTATATATCAGGAACGCCATTAACCATGGAACCCCACCACCATATGTCACAGATTACTACACCTCCAAGCTGCTTCCTGCAGCTGAAAATTATCAAAGATGAGCAAGTTCAATATCGCCACAAGAATCTCATTCCAATTATAGAATAGTTTGGCCAACTTTGATTAACATTCATTCTAGCTACGCAAATTGTGATTATAGTAAGAGATGAACTGATCAGCCCTGAAAGGTGGCAGAAAAAGATTTGGAATACAAAACTAATTGGATCTGTAGAATTGCTTCCAATTCCATGAACTGTGAAATGTGATCAAGCAAAATTTGAGTGTGGAACATCCTTGGGAAATGAGGCAGAAGTGCCCTTCATCCAAGAATTGTCACATTCAATGGCCCTTCATACTGAAAACAGTGGGTCTTTTGAGAACAATAGTTCGAGCTTCGCATCCTAGAACCGCTAGGTAGTGGGAATACAACAAAAGCCTGCAGGTTTTTTATTGTACTCCCACTAGTTTTCTATCAAGGGCCCCCATGCATCATCTGAATTATTGAAGAGTGAAGGGGCTTGAATCCTACTTCATCATGTAACAACAATCAGTACATAAATTGAATAAGGCTTTCTTTGTGATTGAAAACTTATTGATAGCTGTTTTCCAAGACTGTAAATATCCAAGCATCATCCGAATAATTTTGGGGACATAGAAGGATCTGCATTGGTTTATTGAAGATTCAAGCAATGGCTGACAGTTGTCTTAGAGAAGAGGATCGTGGAATTATGGCTCTTTTGCTACTTTTATAATAAAAGTTAATAGAGCAAAACCCTTTTAATTTAAAAGCAGGAAAAGAAGGTTTTTTGATACTGCAGCCAGAATTGAGGGAAAATACAAGTATATGACCAAAAAGACATGCCAGTGCACTGCCCGCTTTCATGGAGAAATCATGAAATAATAATTGGTGGTGAGAGTAGAATCATACTGGCTACTGCTGGCTATATGACAAAATTGCAGTAATAATTCAGCATAAAAGTTCAACTGTAAAATAAATACATAGCAAAAGCTTTGATGAGCTGTTGAAACATTCAGAGGTAAATCTTTCAGATTTACATTATTGAGATTTGTATGGATTGCTTCAATCTCTTCTACATAGGGCTACTATTTTTCAATCAATTGTTGCTGCTATTCAAGCTCGTTTCTACTCTGTTTCAACTCTGAATGAAATATTTTAATTACTAGTCATCCTAGTTGAGTAATTCATTGCTGTGAAAAAGTTAATTTGAAGCAGGCAAACGTGTCCTATCAGGCCCTGTTCATATATATGCAATCAAATTATTAATAGGAAAAAAAAAAAAGAAGAGAAAGAAAGTTCTGCATCTTCTAAATACTGTACTTTGTTCCTTGCTTCCTTATGATGTCTGGCTCCATTTCATGGCACCAGAATCAGAAATTCAAGTAATTTTATGATCACAATCAAGAAATATAAAATCTGTTGGTTCAGAAATGACCAGAGTTTGACATCAAACGAGACCTTTCCTTTGATATGCAAAGGTTTCAAATTCACTGATGCTTAAAATGTCAACTCATTTCTCTCCTCTTTGCGCTAAACAACAGCAACCAACAACAACAATGGGATTTCAACTTGATTATTTAGAAGCTATAATCAAAAGTCTAAGGTTGGAACCGTGTTTGTTTGATTGTTGCATTTAAATACATTATATAGTTCTGATGAGGTACAGACAGGAAAATCTGTAATGATCATATTTAAAATGATAGAAGAAATTAAGATCAAAATTGGGTTGACATTTGAACTGCAAAATATATGATATGACACTCGAACAATACTATAATGTCAAAATTCAGAATCAATGAGATGTTGGGATGTGCACATCAGCACATCTCACATTTGGACAAGGACCTTGCCGGCCAACGCCCCGGGGCCTGAACCAGTGCACGCACTGTGACACATATGCTGATAAGGATGGAAGTATCATGTCATATTTTGGACAGACTAAATTGAGAGGGGAAGAGGAAAACTATAGTTGCATTGCCACAAAGGTAAGTCTTTTTAAATTTGCAGTTTTAAGACCAAGGCTTGGTAATAAATTGATAACCTTTTTAGTGGAAGTTATAGTTGGAATCCTTCTTGGTGAAATAGGTGAGAGGGTGATGTGACATGAGTAGCCATGAGGATTATGGAAAATCAATCTTCAATATTCTGAATTCTTATGATGAGATCCACGATAGTGTAGAACTCTACATATATTGGAAGACTTTGAGCAGCTAATTGCTCTGGAGATGCTGGCTTTTGGCAAGTGGTTGGCATTGAAAAACATGGTGGGAAGTCACAATCTATTTTGCCCAAAAGGAATTGTCATTTGGACTTTGGCTCATGAATGACTTAATGCTTGACATGGTAGCAGAGTAATGTACAAGAAAAAAAAAAAGGCAAATATCCCAAGAAACACAGCAAGTTGTGAAGGGATCTTCAAAAAAACAAAAAGCATGCAGTAACTGCAATTTTCAATATGCAAAGAAATGATAAAGATCGTCAATCAACTGCCCTTAAAATTGCCAATTACTGAAAGATACCTGATGCTTGACAAGGTAAAGCAGAACATTACTAATTTCCAAGAAAGTGAAGACAAATATCTGTTGAAAACACATAAATGAAACCGTAAAGGTGTCGTGAAACAATCCAAGAGAGTACTAAAAGAACAAAAAGCTTGCAATAACAGCAATCCAACTTTCTCAATAGCCAAACAATTATCAAAGAATCTCAATCAGATGCCAATATTGACAGCGGGAATGCAGTGTAAATTTTTAATATTTTCCCTGATGGTTGGTAGCTATGGATGTCTCACGTTAATTCCTTTTTTTTCCTTTTTTTGCACAAAGGGAGGATAATTTTAGCACCGATAAAATCTATAGCCATCAAAACAAAACTTTAATACGGATCTTTGGCAACCGCAGTCTCGTCTCAACCTGAACATTGGCCTGACCCCTGATGAACTTATATCGAATAGAAAATGGCATTTAAAAAAAAAGGTGGAAAATTCTGTCATAAAGAGCATGGCCCAATAATGTGGGCTGAATTTGGAGAAAGTGGTGTCTACATGGTCCGTTACAGGATGACAATTTTTTTTTTATCTCACATGATAAAGGATAGAGATGATAAATTTTGAATTTTTATTTTACATGTCTTCTTAAATATTCTTAATCACCAAATCAAGAAACTGAAAACAAAATACGGCTCAAATTACCCGATGGATCACTCTTCGTTAATCCAGTTTGCAAGTTCTGTCTCTCTCAGCAATAAAGAGACAATAATGTTCGTTCAATAAATTGTATGAGAAAAACCCACAAATTAACCGGAATAAACTTCAAGGTTCAGATTTCATTTAACAATTCAATGTGATGACTGTAGCTTGAGGGATTTTCATTTTCATGTCCTCTGACCTCAACTTTTTTATTTTGTTTCAAAAGGCTAGAGAAAAATTAACAAATTACAAGGGACAATTACAATAGATTTTTCCTTTTCACCAGAAAAATATATATATCTCACAGCATGAAAGTATAAGAAAAAGGATGTGTTTAACTAGAGAAAGGGCACATTCATTCCGAGGCAGCATTCCGTAGGTCTTCCCATGCAGTCAATTTTTCTCTGGGTTTATTTCTCAAATTCCCTAGTCTCTTTTCTTCCTCATCAATCCTTTCCCAAGCACTGAATGGTACACTCTGACATTTCTATTGTCCAAAATCTGGAGGAGTCAGTCTCTTCCAGGTTTCGACAAGCTGGTTGTTGATGCTAAGACTCCTTGCTCAAGATCTTCTGATACGCTTGCAACCTACCATAACAATGGCGCCGTTGGCAACTACATGCAACTCTTGGTAAGATGCTTAAACGTTACAACCAACAAAGCTGGAAACGGTCCTTAAAAACAGACTCAAAATATATGTTTAGGCAACATGAGAGAACTTGACAGTTTCCTCAGCACGGTATAGGTTTGTAGCAGGAATGCCTGTTGGTCTTCTTTTAAACCACCCACAGGCATACAATCCATTCTCATGTATGTATGATCTCTTGAATTATCACATAGAACTCGACCTTTGATATTTGGAACCACACCTGGAGAAATATAACATGAGATGACAACTAAAAAATATTTTTCTTTTCTCTTCACATTTTGTAAGAAAGGCGTGAGCTGGCCAAAAGTATATTAGCTGATTGCACAAAAAGTAGGAAATAATACTAGTTAAGCTATTCTTTTCTTTTACCTTTCTGATTATCAAACAGCAAACCATCCACTGGCACTGATTTATAGCCAATACTCTTCAGCACAATTCTGCAAAAGAAAATGTCAATACACAGTACCATAACAGTAATTTGAATTCAAACTTGAGGTTCTTGAAACGGGGAAGAAGCAGTTCTCTCGTAGGCCACAACTCATTGTTAAATTTCGGTGAGAAAAAAGGTCATATCACTATAAACAAGGGTTTTTTAACTTATGCTTTTTGGACAAGCAATCAGCAAGTCACCTCAATGCCATAATATTGAACAACATGAAGTGGAACAAAATAAACACTAAAAATATTTATAAGCAAGTTCCTCAAAAATAAATACTAAGACTCAAAATCATTAAACAATTAACCATTCAACGGTATTAAAAAAAAAAAAAAAAACTCTAATTTCCATTGAACATACTTCCCCTGGAATGCTTAGAACTGTCACTTTCGGCTCCATATGCAAGCACAACCTGGTCAATTAAATTCACTATTCATCAAATTAAAAATATATGTATAGCTAATAGCTACAGCCTACAATACAAAGTCGAACAAAATTCAGTATTCTAACATCTTACAACATGATAAAGTTCCCGAAGCTCTGCGAGAGAAATGGAAGACCCAAGAGTGATATTCCCCAGAAACATGCACCTTTGCGCAACCCGAGAGAATTGATTAATCACATTCTGTTGCAAGCATTCTACCAAAACTGAGCTTAATTAAGAACATTATTCTACAAAAAAGAAAAATGGCCACTTAGGTGGTAAAAAGGTCGGACCTTAGTTTCGAGATGATCAAGTGCGACACCGGAGCGTACCAATCCAAAGGGCGTAGGTAACCGATCGATGATGTCAACTTGTGATCCTTGATGTGTCTTCAACAGCTGGTGATTCGGTTCGAATCGGAAAAAGCAACTAAATTAAATTCAATTAAGCGTTATTATAAAGTGTTTAATTTAGTATAAAAATTGAATACCTTTTCGGCTGTGTAGAAGCCGTCGGCACGGCTTCCGACAATGCAGACGCGTAATGGATGAGGAGAAAGTGTCGAAAAGCTTCGTGATAGAAATTTTCTGGATCCAGAAATTGCCATTTTTTAAAAAATAAATACCAAAAATAAGAGATTGAAAGAGAAAGGGAGGTTTTGGGAGAGAGACGAGGGGACGTTAAGTTTCCTAATTTTTTTCAAACTTCAGTAATGGGAAAGAGCTTCGATTTGGGCTTAATGATTCGATGCTAGAATTGGGTTTGTTTATGGTCTTCGCCCATCTTCAACGGAACCTCGGGCTTTGGTTGGCCAGTATTTTCTATTCGGCTAAATAGTCTATATTGAAACCGGGACTTTAGCCCAGAAGGTTCTTCCAGCAATATTTTAGAGGGTTGAATATCTAGCGGAGTTTGAATCCGCTGAATGCTCTAACTTCCAACCCCATTAATATATATATAAGCAATTTTGCGAATTAATAGTTATTAAAGCAAACTTGAAATTAATCTTCTTTTCTGAAGCAAGTTGAATTTATTAATGAAAAAAAAAATTTTAACCAGGAAATCTAGGAAAGACAGGTCCGATCTTTGAATCCACCCTTTCTTGCCGATCTTTGGAGAAATAACACAGCATCCTATCATCATGATCCCTCACTTTGTTTATGATATTTTGGGTTTTGGTAGGAAGGAAAGTAACTTGAAGATCCAACGAAGTATAATCGGCATTTATAGTAAAAAAGTAGGGTGTTGAGTTGATTCTTTGAGAAGCATTCCGACATTTAAATTAGTCAAATATTTAAGAATTTTATAAGAAGAAAGATAAATTATGAAGTGTATTTAGAAAGTTTAAAAAAATAAGAGTTTATTTTTTTTACTTTATATATGAAAGAAATAATGATGATTAGGATAGTTGATAGTTGATAATAAATATATGTGGAGTTTAATAAAAGATTACGTTAATAAATTTATATTGTATTTAAAGATTTTATATAAACATAAAATACCTTTAATAATTTTAAATAAGTTAAAAATTAATTATTTTAATGAAAAATTAATTAAAGTAATTAAATGAATCCCTTCTTAGCAAGAGCTTACCCACTTTATAAGGATAATTTGGATATCAACTATCTCTTATGATAACGTGACAATTAAGCATATATCAACATGATTAAGCAAATATAAACATAAAAATTATGAAAATTGATATTATTAAATGAACAAATAAATAGAATACGCTTAAATTATAATTTATTTTAAAAATTTGCAGTGCACTTTCAAACTCACCTTTGTCATTGAGCCACGCCCTAGGTGGCTAAAGAAAATAATAAATTGCATCCTGCAATTATTACTATATCTCTATTATTGATAAGGAAACCTCTTAGTGATTTAAGGGAAAAAAAAAAAAAAAAAACTTATGGGGTTTCAATTATGCAATAAGAAATAGTAGTAAGTTTCACATAATCACGTAAATAATTAGTTTATGAGGGAGCATTTCACCATTTATGAAACTTTGGTTTTTATATTTTCCAATTGTTTCAAATAAATAAAATTATTGACTCAACTTTGTAAATAAAAAATTATCCCCCTCACCCATTTTCGAAACTAAAATTTTACACGAAATTATCTATGTCAATTCATAATATATATTGTATTTAAAAGGGGAAAATTTTATCTTATGATAAAAATAAAAAATATATTTCATTATTTATTTACAAAATAAAAAGAATTTCATTGTGTTAGTCTTATCAAAGAGAATCATATCATCTAACACATGTTGAAGTAGGTGAGTTGGTTATGCCCTTTTTCTATATGATCTCCTTTCTAGCGTAAGAGTAAAGTTTTAAGAATGCTATGGCTATTGGGCAAGAAGTATATATAATTAGATATTGTAGAGATGCATTTTCTTTATAATTGAGAATGAGAAAGGAAATCGAAATTTTCGAACTTTTATATTGCAAGTAATTTAATATTTTAAATAATTTGATGATAGAATTGAATTAAATTTAAATTAAATTATTTGAAGAAAAAAATAAAAGAAAAAAATGTTTTCTAATTTTTAATTTATCAATAAATTTCTCACTTTAATTCTTACTTTGCATAAAATTTTTTAAATACTAATTTTAATGACATTTCAATTCATTCAAATTTTAGTCAACGTAAATAATGTGTTTTAACGTAGCTTTAAGATGATCATTATGAAAGTTGAAGGATTGGGACCGTTGATGTTGAAACATATCTCAACAACCGTTGATGTGTCTCAGCCCTTTATAGAGTTGTCCAATTATAATTGCGGTTTAGAACCATATCTAACTTGGATTAACTTTGTCGGCATCGCATGACCAAACTATCATTAAAAGCTTGATAAAAGTAAACAGTTGACAGTCTATGCTGTGTTACCAATTTCACCCATAATTAAAAATAATTTTATTAAAAATAATTTAATTATAAATACATTAAAAATATATTAAAAAAATAATAATTAGGCCCCGGGAGGAACCAATTTTCCCTAGCCACCGGCCATAGGTGAGGCTCCATGGTTGAAAAATGCCAACCAAACCACACTTACGGCCATGGGTGGGGGACTCAGTGTTCGGGCCAAAAATTGACATCGGTTTGACATGTAATTGTTGATGTAGGATGACGTCAGACTATACACGAATAACAGCAAAAAAAAAAAAAAGAAAAAGAAACAAATCCAAATAAAAACAATTAAAAAAAAAGAAAGTGAAATAATTACAGTGTGGGCCCAGCTTTTGATTTTGGCGATAGTACAAAAACAAAAAATTAAAGGAAACAAGAGGAAGAAGTTGTTAGAGGTCGGCGTCCAGGGACAGTTTTGTCTTTTACCTGAGAGAAGGGAGGCAAGGCAGGGCATTGGTGGGCCCCAGTATGGGCCAACCCCACTAAAAAGGCAGTACAGTCCAAAAACTTTAAGTCCCTTTCAAACCAAAAAAAAAAAAAAAAAGTTGTGTTTGTATTGTGCTATTCACGAACCCCAACTTTGGGCCCACAAACCGCCTCTCATTTCTTTAATTTGCCTATTTCTATAGGGGTCCAATAATGTAATCTATATCTATTTTTTAGAATTAGCCCTTTTCTTTTTCTTTTTTTTTTCTGTGACATTTTGTTCAATGTTGTGATGTTTGCTCTATTGAAAAATGTTAGGAATAGTTGTGATTGTAATGGTTGTCTAAAATCTTCTCTATATGTTGCTTTCATATAATTAAAATTCTATTTAATTGTCAATTTTTAAAAATATTTTTTTGCATATGTACAAAAACTTGTCATATATCATGAAAGAAAATTTAAAACCAAAAAAAAAAAAAACTGTCACATATCATATAGAATATTTAAAATAATTGATATCAATAAGGTAAACAAAAAATGGGATAATAATCTAACAAATATCGATCATTTTGTAAAATCTAAAAATTTTATCAACTGTATTTAAGATAATAATTCCATGTAAAAATAAATGTAATTAAATCAAGTTAAAAGAGAGTAACTAGAAAATATTTAATATGTGTAATATAAAAATATTTTTATATTTAAAATTATTAAAATTAAAAATAAAATTAAAAATCTAACACTGAATTGAAACTAGCTAATGTCAATCTGGCTTGGACTGGCATCTTCTGTATTTTCCTTTGGCGTGATTATAAAAAGTCTAAGGACAGGCATAAATCTAATTTCACAAACTTGATTTATAAGAATGAATTGACCCGACAAGTTGACTCCAATTCCTAAACTTGGATTGTTGAGTTTTTCCAAGTAATCCCAAAATGTCAACTTTCATTTGATTATTGCTTCTTTGTGTTATTTTAAATCTTCACCGACAAACAATCAAACTGTCAAATAAGACTAAAACAAATCCTTTTAAACCATTTCTTCTTATTTCCAACCCGTTCATGATTAACACCTTATATTTTAAAATAATATTCAGTAAAAATCTTTTTTTTTTTCTCTCTTTTTGTGTTGTGGTTACAATAATTTTGTTTACGTATGTTCGACCAAAAGAGATCACATATATCAATTGGTCAATAGAAATGTTCATTCTCTTGAATAAAGTTGTTGAAATTAATGTTGATACATTGGTTTTTTGGGTTTTTTTTTTTTGTAATTTAAAAGAAAAAAAAAAAACTAACAAGCTTATAAAATAAGCATAATTATTTTCCAAAAATGATGATACAATGAAATAATGTAAAACTTAACATCATTACCCAAACTCTTAAACATAATTATGCACTAGAAGAAAACTAAATTTGAGTATTTGACTAATCCCATTTGTATTTTATTCCAAGTTAGTGGACAACCTCATTCAATTGAATTCTTACTTTAATTTTTTTTTTCTTTTAGTTGTAGGCGAATCCACACCTTTTATTTTAGAGGTCAAAACACGAATCTAAGTTGACATGCTTTACTTATAAGTGATCCAAAATCAAAAGATAACCCTCAGTTGATGCTGGCCGATAACACGTGGAGAATTTAATTCTTTTGGTTACAATAAAGATTATTGTTTGAGAATATGAAAAGAAATTATGGATATCAAATTTTAAATTAAAATTTATTAAATATTATTTTTTTAAAAGTGATTTTATGAATAAATAGAATTAAATTAAAATTTTTAATTTTTTTAAAATATAAATTTATTCAGATTTATTTAAATTTTTAAAAAATATTTTTTTATTTTATTAATTTTATTTATGTTATATCGAAATTTGAGTTCAAATCTTTTAATTTTTAAAATTCAAACTCTAGCTTTTTAAGTTAAAGATCCTGTTTTAATTATTAAAGTTAATGTATCCAAAAAGCTTTTTCTTTCATCATTTCATTTTTCCTTTTTTTTTTTCAATAAAGCAATTTTCGCATGACATGTGATATGAGTTACATTTTTAAGAATATCATAACTTTAAAAATAAAAATATATATATATTTTTTTTCGATTTACATGTTTGGTTTACACGTGTGGTAGCATGTGGGCCACTGATCCCTCTGAGTTTATGGTTCGTCCTCTAGCGCCTTGGACTGGAGCGGGGCCATAAAGTTCGGTTTAGTTAATGGGATATCAGTCACGTGACCTGCTATGTGAGGAAAATTCCCCTCACCTCTTTTGCGTGCATACTTCGTTTGTACACCGTCCGATCTAATGACATTGGTGAATTGTTATTCTCCCACGCTCTGATAAAATCATCAGA